AATTATTTCACACAAAAACCAGACGAATTTCAGAATATGATAAAACAACAATTCAAGAAATAAAGAATACGCCAAAAACGACCAACCTACCCTTCCCGCCATATGATGCAGCAGTAAGATGAAGGATATACATGCTCTGAAACCGTACCGTCGGCCATACTTTACTGATGAAACAAGGTTAATGAAGCTTTACCTATTGGAAGATCTTCTCCCGCTGTCGTTCTGCGCAATAACTCCCCCCCGGTCGCCTTCCTCACAGTTTTTTCAGCCCCAACCCGACCCCTGCCCGCCTTCGGAAAAGAAGGTAATCTACCTTCCTTCGCCTATCATCTGCTAGCACTTACGACACACAAAGCGCCCTCAATATTCTCGGCTAGCGACACAAAAATTTTACCAGGCCACCCCCAGCTTATGACGAACCATGAAATGGTGTGAAACAACCTTGTCAAGCCCGCCGACAAGTGTCGAGCCCGCCGACAAGGGTCCACATGAAGTTCGGACCTCCAAGGAAGCTGCCCAACAGCCGCGTAAGGCGCCTCCATCTCATCACCGGGAGGAAGAGACCAGGGGGCAAAAAATGACAGTCGATTGAGAAGTACATAGTTGGAGCCTGATACTAACGCTGTCCACACCGCCGCTGGAGCCGCTCAACTCATCGGACGAAGACAATAGATGTTGTTGTTGTTCCTGGTTAGGCTGATGTTGGAACACAAACTCTCCCCCCACACCACCCTCTCCTCCTACAACCGCCCCTGCTCACCCACCACGCAGTACCCGACGTCCGTGTGAACACACTTTATCGCAACACGCCCGCCCTGCTTCATCGCTCCTCAACGCCAACCTCCAAGAACGAGCCATGAAACCGCGCCGCACCACTCGTCGCCCATCTCAACAGTGAATCCGCATCGTGAAACCACACCGTGTGAAAGCGTCAGCTCCACTGCGCCAGGTTCTCGACCACGCCATCGTCAGTCCGTCGCCCCACTGTAGCGGACCTCTGGTTGACCTGTGAGACCATCCCCTTGGCCTGTGTTTTATTCGGGGTAGTCCAGTCCAGGACGGTACCTCTGTCGGTACCAGCCAGTCCAGTCCAGTCCCGTCAGTCCGCTGGGGTATACCCCAGCCATTGTCTGTTTTCGATATCATTCTACACTCGCACAGTTTTGGAGTACGTGCGCTGGAGTCTTGCGTGGGAGCTGCGTTGTGCTGTCTCGCTCCTCCCTCATCCTCCATCTCCATCATCATCCCTACATTGGTATCGGAGCAGGTGTTTCTCCCTGGTCCCCTCCCCCCCCCACCCCCTCCATCATTTCTCACGTGGCTTGAGCAAAAAAGCTCGCTACTTCCCTTTGATCATGACACCGATGCACAGTTTTCATCATAACTTCAACATATTGTGTCCAAAAATTTTGATCTTTGGCTTGTTAGAAAGCACTCGACGAGATGCTTCCAACGAGCCATAGATTGACAAAGTTTCTGTGCTGGTTTTGGAGCTACGATCATTCAAAGATCGTGAATTTTATTTCGCAGCTCCAAAACCGCGCGCGCTCGTTTGTTTTGAGGAGCGCTATTTATACAAGCTGCGGCTGAAGTCGCGACATATCTCGTTGGAAGTGCCTTCGAAAAAGCTTTCCAAAAAATCATTTTTTGCCAAATTCCGCCCAACGGATAAAAAGTTATTGGCAAAAAACGGATTTCCCTTCTCTCTGCTCTCTCCCCCCCGTGGCCATATGCAGTACCACGTGGCAGTTTGCTGGAGACCTTGAAGACCCCCTGATCAGGGGCTGCTTGACAGTGGTGAGGGTTTGTTGTCACAGCACACCCTGGATTTGCAGTGCTGCTGGTAGGGGCTGATCAAGATCTCAGCCCCCCCTCCCTCCTCCACTTGGCTTGCTGCAATGCAGACAAATCTGGGTGGCTGATCAAGATATCAGCCCCCTCTCTCCTCCAGTTGGCTTGCTGCAGCAAAGGCCAAGACCCTCCTGGTCTTGGTGCACCTTGTGCCCTTGGAGACACCAAGGGCCAGGTAGCACTTCTCCCCTCTCCGTACTAACCCGCTTTCTCTCCCTTTCTCTCTCTCCTCTTACTCACACCCCTCTCCCCACCCCATCTTTCTCCCACCACCCACTCTTTTACTCTCTTTTCTTCATTTCTTTTCTTTTCTTTCCTCCTTCTTTTCTCCTTGCTTCTTGATCCCTCTCCACCTTTCCCCAATCCTCCTCTCCCCCAACTACCACCACATCATCCCCTCCCCCTTCCACTTCCATCTTTTTCTCTCTCCCACCTATTTCTTTTTTTTCTCCTTCACTTTTTCATTCCGTTTCCCCCCCTACTTCGAATTTTTTTTTTTCTGTTTTTCTTCTTTCTCTCTCTTTTGATTTATCTTTTCTCTTTTTTTTTTCCAAAAAAAAAAATTCGGATTATCTTCTTCCCCACCTTTTTTTCTCATTTTCTGATTTATTTCATTTATTGTTCTATCTATTCTGAAAATTCGATTTTCTTCACGGCAACCCTAAATCTGATTAGGTGTTAGTCTTTCTTGCTTCCGGCACACGTTTTGACCCCGTGGGGGTAACGAAGTGTTGCCAAAATTTTCTGATTTTCTCTTACTTAGTCTTTTTCGACACACTTCGACCCCATGGGGGTAACGAAATGCTGCCAACATTTTTGAAAAATCAAATACTTCATTTCTCTCCACCTCCTCCTCCAATTATTTACTTATTTATTTATTTATCTATTTATTTCTAGGCTACCAGAGTGGCCCGGGGTCACTTGCCCGGCCGGGCCAAAAAAAATTAAAATATAAAAACAATAAAAATTATTTTAACATTTTATTTTATATTTTAAATTTGGTAAGGAATTTCGATGTGACCCTGAGGCAAAAGTTGTTCAGTTTATTTTTCTGCATAACATAGCTTGTTTTCTGATTTTTTGGATTTTTTTGTTTTTTTGCTGGGACCCTCCTTTGTCCTTGCACGGGCTGGCCACCCTGGACGCGAGCGGCCCGGCTGGTAGCCTATATTTATTTATTATTTCTTTATTTATTTTTTGAATTTTTTTATTTGCGGCAGTTTGAAACCTAGTGTGCTTATCTTGGTCTCTCCTTTCCCCTTGGCACATTTTTGACCCCATGGGGGGTAGGGAAATGCTGCCGAAAATTTCAAAAAAATAAAATATTATTTTTCTTTTCACATTTTGTTTACTTCTTTCCTTAATTATTTTTATTATTTATTTATTTTCTTATTTACTTATATTTTTTCTCGAAATCTCGCTGTTTATTTATTTTTCTCCCACCTCCCCCCCTTTATGCTCACTATTTTATTTTCTTGATTAGGTCACCGGTACCCTAACCTAACCACTTAAACTTCTGTTAGGGTTTTCTTAGGGTTTTGTTTTAGGGCTTGGGGTTCTTCAAACCCCCCTACTTCCCCTTCCTCTTCGGGCACCCTGGACCCGAACCAGCCCTCCCCCTTTGACGGCGCCCGCGCCAGCCTTGCTAGCGTCGTCCGTCGCTTTCTACCGCAGACCCCCCCCTACGCCCTCCGCTCACGCGGACCTCCTCTGGCCCCCTCCAGTCCGGCCCGTCACCTCCCCATGGCCGACGGTGTGTCACACGTCGCCGACGCGGCGACGACCACGACACAGGGCTCCACACCTGTGCCGGCGGACCAGGGCCATCAGCCCCAGGGGGATCTTCACACCCTCATCACCTCCCTCCTCGCACCCATTCAAGCACAACTCGCGATTCTCGCGCCCTTACAGGCACAAGTGGCGACCCTTGCCGCCGGCATGCAGCAACTCCAGGACGCTGCCTACCCTTCATCTCCTTGCTCCCAGTCCGGGTCCCCCGTCCTCCGACAGGGTGGCCACGACGGAGCTTCCTCCTCCGCTGCCCCCGACCCGGCCATCTTGGTGACTGTCCACGCCCCTAGCACGGCGGCCACCACGAGCCAGGCCCTCCCTCATTCTACGGGCGCACCCGCCCAGATTCCGGTCACTACGGCCACGAGACCACAACCCGCTACCATGGTCTCTACTTTTTCGGGTGCCCCGCTTCTCCCTCCCCTTCGCACGACCGCAGGGCCACCTGGCTCTTCCCCCTCTGGGATGCCCCGCGCTGTTTGTGCGTCCACTTCCTCCACTCTTCCTCCTGTCACTCCTCGCTCGATCCACGTCCAACGTCTCAAGGACGAGCTTGCCCAGATCCGGGCCGACCTCGCCCTCTTACGCCTTCAGCCACCCCCACCCTCACAGGTGGCCGCGCCTTCGGGCGCACCCCCTACCTCCTCTAYCYTTCCTCCCATGCAGGCTCGCTTCCCGCGCCCTGCACCCTATCCAGCCCCATCCTACCTTCTTCCTACTCCCGCGGTTGCTGCGACCTCTTCTACCACAACTCCTTCGCAGCCTGCCGCAGTTGCCCCCACCGCTCCCCCACGCGGCCCGGGCGCACAGTCAGTTGCGCCCCTTTCTCCAGGACCTGTGTCGACTTACTCAGCCGTGGCACAGGCCTCTGCTCCTCGATCCCCTCGCCGCCAAAACGGTGGCGCACCTCTCGTCCGCTTGTCGGACATTGCCCTGTATGACGGTACAGGCATATGCGTGTCTCGGTGGCTGCAGTCTGCCACCCGCACGCTCCAGCTTATGGGCGCCACACCCGACACGTGGGTGGGTCACCTCTCCACGCACCCGCGCTTGGGAGGATTTCTACGCATACTCCCTTCGCGAGGGTCGGACTCCGACCTTCATGGATTTCTAGACGTTCCTCGAGGATCGCTTCGGAGCCCGATACGACGTGACTGACGCCTTCGAGCGTGTCGTCACTACACGCTGGTCCGACTCTGGTGGCGCTGCCGCTCTGGATCGCCACATCCAGGTCTTTCTGGACGCCCGCCTCATTTCTGACGTGGCGTTCCTCCCCGAGGCTGCCCTTATCAATCGTTTATTGGCCAGCCTTCCGCTCGAGTACCGCTCCGAGTTATGGCGGTACGAGTTCACATTGGCCCCGCAGGCTTACGAGACCGCCAGGGACCATCAGCGGATGCGGGCCCGTCTTCACCCCGCCTCCTCCTCCCAGCATCAGCGTACTGGTTACGCCTCCTCCTCCTCTCACGCCACTTCCCAGCGCCGTTCCCCTTTCCGCAGTCGCCCCCGCCGTTCCGCGCAACAGGGCCGCCACTTCTCGTGCCGCTTCAACGCGCTCGAGTATGGTGAGCAGGACGCTGGTGCCCCGCTGTCGCCAGAGGGTGACCATAGCGACGACCTCGACCTCGGCGAGGCCGTCCACCACCACCTGGAGGACTCAACTCTCCCTATGGCTGAGCGCCTCCAGCTCATCCTCTCCACCCTTTCCCGGGCACGCAGCCGCCCTGGTTACGCTGGCGTGTCGCCCCCCGAGGTCCCTCAACAGGACCTCCCTCAGGGCTTTGTCCCTCCTCGCGGTGTCCTTTCCGCCAAGGAGCGCGCGACTATTTTGGGCCGGCGTGGGTGTTTACGATGCCGTCAGGACGGTCATACCTCCTCGCGGTATCCTTACACCACCGCCCTTGACCGCCACTACAATGACCTTTCTCGCCAGCATCGTGCTCAGTCCCCCCCCAACGCCTCGCATCCCCGCGGTGCCTCCTAGCCACGGTGCAGTGTACACCTGCGCCCTCCTCAGTAGTCGGCTTCCCGACATCCCCATCGCGGTTTGCCCCTCTCGCTACTGGAGTTGAGGTTTCGCAGGATCCGACAAAGTGTACTAAGCCCTCTGTCGCGATACCGTTTGCGCCTCCACAAACCACTTTTTCCCCTCCTACCCCACCGCGACTACCGACGCGTCGAGCCATTCGCTCAGGCCATTGCAGAGAGCAGCTTGCGACTCGCGAGGACGTTGTGTCCTCTCTTCTGGACTTGAGCATGCTCCAGGCTCGTCGGGAGCCGCTCTGCGTCGCCTTCTCACCATCCTCTCTGACCCTGATCACACCCTCCCGATCATTCCAGAACGACTCGGGACCTCCACGAGGGTGTACTCAGCGCTGTGGGATTCCGGTTCTCAGGGCGACTTCATTCACCCACGTGTGGTGAAAGAAGCCTGCTTACCCACGACAGGGTCTCCGACTCCCATCTCTGTTACCTTAGGGGATGACAAGACCCAGCGCTTCTTCGATCAGACGGTCACCAACCTCCCTTTCTTCCTCACTCTCGAGCCGACTGATCGTCCCCCGGCGTCTCGTCGCCACCGCTCCTCTGCACATTTCGATGTGATGGAGACGGGGTACGACTTCATTCTCGGCACTCCGTGGTCTCGCCGGTTCCGCAACACTGAGGCCGATTGGGCGACCAACACTCTCGTTCTCAAAACCAAGTGTGGACAGACGTATCGCGCACCTTTCATAGGTACCACTGCGACACCACGCCCCGATCCTCCTCCCCCGGAGCCTTCCGTGCCCACACCATCTCCTTCTATCACTGTCACCTCGCCTCGGCAGTTCGCCCACTTCATCCGACAGGACGACGTCACCTTCTTTATGGTGAACGTGACGGATCTCTTACACTATGATCCACCCTGTCCCGACGCCGAGCTCATCCTGCTGGAGCCAGATCCTCCTTCTATCTCCATGACTCCCATCTCTACTTCCGTCCCTCCGCCGTCCGTCGACTCCACCCTGCCGTCGCGCGCTGACGCTGACGCTGAGGAACTCGTACGCTATACGGCTGACCCGGAGCCCGCAGTTTGTGACCTCATTCAAGAGTACCACGACGTTTTTCCATCGTTGTTCTCGTACGCTGGCATCCCACCAATGCGCGACGTCGAGCACTCCATCCAGCTTGTGTGTGACTATCGTGTTCACCACCACGCACCCTACAGACTCTCGATCCCCGAGGCCACCAAACTCCAGCGTCAGCTTGAGGAGCTCCTGAGACTGGGTTTCATTAAACCCAACAACTCCCCATGGGATGCACCCATCCTCTTTGCTCGCAAAGCGGATGGAACTCTCCGTCTCTGCATCAACTATGGCGGCCTCAACCGTGCCTCGTTCCGACGAGCTGTTCGACCGCCTAGCAAGCAACCGCTTCTTTACGAAGATTGATCTTCGTAGCGGTTACCATCACATTCGCGTCGCTGCAGCCGACCTGCCGAAGACAGCGTTCCGATCGCGCTTCGGCCACTACGAGTTCACGGTGATGCCATTCGGCCTAACCAACGCACCCGGTACCTTTCAGAGGGCGATGAACGACATCTTCAGGGACATCTTGGAGCAGTACGTTCTCGTCTACCTCGACGATATCCTGGTCTACAGTCGTACCCTTGAGGGGCACCTCAAACACCTCCGCGATGCCCTTGACCGCTTGCGCAGACATGGCTTCTATGCCAAGCTGAGCAAGTGCCGCTTTGCCCAGCACAAAGTGGATTTCTTAGGACATTACGTGTCTGACCAGGGTCTCCACATGGACGACGCGAAGATCACTGCTATTGCGGAGTGGCCCGTCCCCACATCCGTCGAGCAGCTTCGCTGTTTCCTAGGCCTTCCCAGCTACTATAGTAATTTCATCCAGGGATACGCTAGGTATTCCTACGTCCTTACCTCCACCCTCCTCCGGAAGAACCCACCCTGGGCTTGGACACCCCTCCACGAGGACGCCTTCCGCGCCCTCATAAAGGCGGTGACATGCGCACCGGTTCTTCACCTACCCGATTTTGACCGCCCTTTTGTCCTTACCACCAATGCATAAGACTTTGTTGTAGGAGCAGTGTTTTCTCAGGTCTTCCCCTCCTCTCCTGATTCCAGTCATCCTCGTATCCCTCGCTTCCCACCACCTACCCCTACCACTGCTTCCCGACTGACGCCTATTCGTCCAGCTACTGACGAGCATTCTATTGACTATTCTCCTACCATCGCCGAGGACGGCACTGTCGAGTCTCGCTCTGGTGATTGTCCGGTAGCCTTCTACTCCCGTCAGCTCCTGTCCGCCGAAATAAACTACACTGCTGATGAACGTGAGGTTCTCGTAATAGTTTATGCCGCTCGACACTGGCGTCACTACCTGCACGGGGCACCGTTCACGGTGCGTACGAACAACTCTGTTGTCCAGGCTTTTCTGACAAAACCGAAGCTCACTCCTCGATAGGCTTGCTGGTGGCGCGACCTATCCGAGTTTAGTTTCACCACTGAGCACATCAAGGGCGAGACTAAATGGGTCGCAGATGCCTTATCCCGGCGCCCTGACCACGACCAGGAGCAGATCCATCTCTCTTCCATCTCGGTCACCACTGTCCACCACTCGGTGATCGACGAGTTTCGCACTCAGTACCGCCACTGCCCCGACTATCACGATATCCACGTGACGCTTCGGAGTGGCAAGACCGTCCCGAACTACTCTCTCGGGGACAACGGTCTCGTGTACTGGCACGGTTCACAGAGCACCAGAGAGCCCCGTATTTGCGTTCCCTCCACTGGACAGCTACGTGTCCGAGCAGTAGCAGAGTTCCATGAGCAGGCAGTCGCCGGTCATATGGGCTTTCACAAGACATTGGCTCGCGTGAGCCGCCTGTACGTCTGGCCGAAGCGCAAGGACTTTGTGAAGGACTACGTCGCAGAGTGTCCCACCTGTCAGGAGGTGAAAAGTGCGAACCACCTTCCTTATGGTTTGCTTCAGCCTCTTCCTATCCCTGAGGGTCGTTGGCAGTCCATCTCCATGGACTTTATCGGTCCCCTTCGTCCTCCGACCCCCCGCGGTCATGATGCTGTCCTGGACGTCGTCGACCGCTTCACGAAGCGTGCACGCTTTGTTCCGTGCCGCTATGCCATCAGTGCACGTGAGGTCGCCGACATCGTGTTTGACCGAGTCATGCGTGACCACGACTTACCTCTGAGCATCATATCTGACCGTGACCCGCGCTTTACCAGCCAATTTTGGCGACGACTCCACAAGGTGTACGGCACATAGCTCCGCTTCTCCTCGTCTTACCATCCTCAGACTGATGGTCAGACCGAGATCACGAACACGACTCTCAGAGATATCCTCCGAAAGATTGTTTGTGACGACCAGCAGTGGGATCTCCATCTTGCCCATGCGGAGATAGCCTACAACCACGCCGTCTCGCCAGCCACGGGGATGTCGCCTTACTATTGCGACCTCGGCTATCACCCTCGTGTTCCCGCGGACTTCCTCCTACCGTCACAGATGCACCCCGACACGAGTTGTCTAGCCGCTTCCCAGACTCGTATGGCAGCACGTGCGAACCGATCGAGGATGGATCACCCATTCAAGGTCGGTGATGATGTGCTTATCGACGCCCGCCACTTACAGCTCGAAGCGGACACGCTTCGCAAGTTTCGCCGTTGCTTCTTTGGCCCATGCCGCATCCTCCAGGCCGTCGGTTCTGATACGACATCTAGCCCGGTCAGCTTTCGTGTGAAGCTGCCCGACTACCTACGCCAGGCTCGTGTGCATGACGTCTACCACGTCTCGTTACTGCGTCCTTACCGCAGACCGTCTGAGCGTTTCGCTGGACGACCATATGAGCGCCCTCAACCCATCATGATGGATGGCCACGAGGAGTTCCTTGTTTCATACATCATTGGTCGCCGAGTCACCGACGACAACCCTCCCCACGTCGAGTATCTCGTACGTTGGAAGGGTTACCCTGATGAGGAGGYTACCTGGGAGCCCCTCGAGCACTTGCAGCACGCTCGCATGTTGGTGCGTGCCTATGACCATGCTCGTCGTGCTGGGTTCACTGCTCCTCCTCAGCCCACTGACCCTCCTCTTTCTCCCCCGGCTGAGGAGACCGGTGAAGTCGAGCCTGCTCCATCTGAGGCAGACCTTCAGCACCAGTCGGATGCTTCTGAGCGTCCACATCGCACTCATCGTTGTCCAGCTCGATACGACGATTGAATCTGACTTACCTTCCCACGTCTTTGACTTCTCAGTATTCCATCCACTCCAGTTTTGCTACTTCAGCTCGTCGACATTGCGGCTCTTCCTCGACGGCATTCCGGACTTCTCATCGTGGACGTCATCGGCAGCTTCATGGACTTCATCACGATCAACTCTGACTACTTCAGACGTCGTCACTCTCTTCCCACTTTACCCTATACAGTACCCTTGTTGTGTCGCATGATGGTCTCCCTTTAGCCGGGTTCCTCTTAGTTGGGCTCTCCCTTGGTATACGCATAGGCATCGGGACCGTAGCGTTGCCCTGGCTCCCCATCTTACAGATTTAGCTCCGACTTCCCTCACCTTAGGAGTCATTTGCATGATTCCCTTACCCATCACCTTTCTACCCTCTGTCGGCCCTCACGCCCTAGTTAGGCAGCCTCGCATGCTTCATCTAGGTGCGCCCAGTATACCAGGCTCCCTTGTTCCCTTGCATGGTCGACCCTCCATAGCGGTCACCCCTTAGTCGAGCATTACCCGCCCTGATGGTCTATCTGTTAGGGTCATTGGTTCTGTTCGCTCCCAGTTCCCTACCCTCATTGAGCCTGATGACACGTGTTCCCCCCTGTCACTCTGTGTGGATGCCCTTAGGAGTTTTCGACCCCTAGGCTGCATTCGCCACATCCCACCCTTTGGTTTGCGACACATTTCTCATGTCACACATGGTTGTCTTGTTGTTGCTTTGTTGCTCTCAGACTGAGGCTACTGCCTCTAACATTTCTAGGATTTAGCTGTTCTGCTTTTGTTGTTCTTAGGACTTATACACTAGTCAGTTGCTCCCAGACTGAGGCTGCTGCCTCCAACATTCTAGGATCTAGTTGTCACTACTTTCTGCTTTCCTAGGACATGTATGCTAGTTAGTTGCTTCTGCTTTCCTAGGACATGTATGCTAGTCAGTTGCTTCTGCTTTTACTTAGGCTGTTAGCTGTGACATTGTTGTTTTGTGACATTTCATATCCTAGGTTGCAACGCATGGACTCAGCATGGAGCTCGCTCCGCATCCTAGAGTACTCAGGCTTTCTTTTTCTTTCGTAGAGTTTCGCTTCTTGGCGGAAGCGTGCTTGTATCTAGGCGATCCATCACATGTCGAGGATCGTGTAGCGGACCTCTGGTTGGCTTGTGAGACCAACCCCTTGGCCTGTTCTCATAGGCCTATGTTTTATTCGGGGCAGTCCAGTCCAGGCCGGTACCTCTGTCGGTACCAGCCAGTCCAGTCCAGTCTCGTCAGTCCGCTGGGGTATACCCCAGCCATTGTCTGTTTTCGAGATCATTCTACACTTGCACAGTTTTGGAGTACGTGCGCTGGAGTCTTGCGTGGGAGCTGCGCTGTGCTGTCTGGCTCCTCCCTCATCCTCCATCTCCATCATCATCCCTAGCGGAGCACCACACCTGGTGGGTCCGCTACACCCACCGCGCCACCGCCCGCCATTTCCGATCGCCTGTGTGAAACCGACGGGGGGAACCGGTTCGGGTTCGGGCGCAGCGCTCCCGGTAGCGTTGCGCCCATTTTCCAACATCCGATGACAGTGCTGCCAGTCTAAAGACTATGAGGTTCTGAATTGAACTGCAAAGCTCGAACTTTCAAGTTATATATGAAGTTATGAACTTAAATAACCAAATCCAAAGTTCAAAGTTCAAAGTTAATCATACTTTTTTTTTTTTTTAATTCTCTGTTTCTTTAGTCTTGTGCCTGCACGGTTTGCAACTTTGCATGTCTGCTGGTTAAATGTGCTGTTTGATTTGCTGCAAGACACGTGCTCTACTGCCTGAACTACAGAGTGCAAAGCAGGTAAGTGCCTGCCAACTTTGGGTTCGGACATTTTTGCACCCCGGGGACCGGTCCGGACTGTCTGGTGTCCGGTGATGTCCGGATCACCGGACAGTCCGGACCGGTCAAGACACTGGTCCGGAAGACAGTCCGGAAGTGTCCGGTGTCCGGGTCCGCGGTTACCATGGTCCAGATACAGCTATAATGACCAGCCGTTCTTTTTTTTTGGAGTCACGCAAATGAGTTATAATTGCACTACAGGCCAAGATACAGTTTGAGTTCGGGCAATGTATACAACCCAACTTTTTGGCCAGGTAGGGTGCCCAAAGTGCAATTGCAAACTGTATCTTGCCCCATAGTGCAATTATAACTCGTTTTTGTGACTCTACTGAAGTTACCCAGGTTGTTGTAGAGGTGGGATACTAGACCAATGACAGTTACCCACAGTATTCGGCCACTCGGTTGTCCAGCTGAAACCCTCTGAAGACCCCACCCACCCTTCCTCTCATCTTTTTTGCCCTGGCGCACCCCCAACCCCCCCTGTCCCACCCTAGTGTTAGCCACCTGGGACCATCACCCATTACCATCTTCGGCGGGGTGACCTGACAGAACAGCGGTTGCAGGCACCCGGGCTAAGCAGAGAGACCTATCCCCCTGCTCAACCCTGGTTGAAGCAGATGCTGTGCAAGCCTGATTGCACGGGGACTTTGGGAGCTAGGTATGAATATGCTACTACAGGTCTTCATGAGGGTGCACAGTGGCTCCCATCTAGCACAGTTATGTGGTACGATAGAGAGTTGGGAATCCTCCGTTCCCTCGTGTGTCCCTGGAGTCCATTCCGGCCCACGGTAAGGTGTAGTATCTTCTAACACCCCCTACATCCCGCACTAAGGAACTGCTATGCCAGCCTCAACCCTATGCTACGTAATTAGGAGGATAGCCAACTCTGAGTCTTGAGTTATGACTTGAATCTCTTATCCTTACGTTGTATTACTAGAGTGTTCTATTGTGTTGATGGTAGAGAGCTGGGGATCCTCCGTTCCCTCGTATATCCCTGGAATCCGTTCTGGCCCCGCGGTAAGGTGCAGTATCTCCTTTTTTTTTTTTTTTTTTTGAAACTTCGTATATGGGAAGCCTACTTAACGATTTGTGATAAGAGTCTCCCCGGTAAGTAGGCCCCAGTGTCGAAGGCTCCATCTATTGGTGGGGAGCTACACCTGCTGGAAATTGGGTCCAGCGTCCCTATACAATGATGAAAATATATCTGCTCGAAATCAGGTCCAACGTCCGTTTGCCATGGTGTGAATGTATGTGCTGGAAAACGGGTCCAGCGTCCCTATCCATCTGATCTATAGAACCTTGCAAACAAACTGAGATATCAATCCTATCAGGCGAAACCCTAATCATGATGTAATGTGTATTACACTAACGTGATTTGTATCTACTGGAAATCGGGTCCAGCATCCCTATACCATGTTGTGTAACTATATCCAACAGTCAGGAACTACCAATATATGTCTTTATATGTCTTTATTCTATATCTATCAAACTGAAAACACCAATCCAAAGCGCAATATGATGTATATGATCTTTGTCAAACATACCTAAAAAATAGAGTCCAGCAACCAATATGCATTATCATGTGAAACGATCAATGGGCATCGATTACTTCCCTGCGCAGGGAAGGATTGACCTCCTGCTAACTAATCCCTAAGCAGCCCGCCGCCAGCCAGCTGGACGAACAGCCACACATTGATGATTGATATTGCAGGCCGCGCAGCATCAATCACTGGCAGCTGTCCTGCTCCTATCCTCTACCAAACCCCGATGAGAAAATTTGTATCGAGGTTGGAAGGGGGGAAAGCAATAAACCAGTTCTCCTTCGCAACCCCATATCCCACCACGACCGCTTGCAGCATCACTCCGATCGCGCTGATAATAATCTCAGATACGCGGATGACGCGTTCTACCCTTCTGTGCCCCTGGTCATCTCCGCCGTCATCATCGTCGTCGTCATCGTTGTTGTTGTTGTTGTTGTTGTTGTTGTTGTTGTTGTTGTTGCTGTCACCCCTACCCAATCAAGGAATCAACCGCAAATGAAAACGTAATCATCAAACCCGTCATGAGACCACATGATTGAGAGTTGAGGGCATGGGAGTTGAGAGCCAATCATCCTAATGGACGAGGGGGAGGTCATCTATCCTTTTTTTTTTTTTTTTTTTAATGATGATGATTAGTAGGTAACAGATTTAGAAGACTATGCTATATCAGCAAATCTGGCCTCCTA